TTTATAGCTGTTATCAATATAAATAATCAAACAGTCTTTATTTGTTTATTTGTCGTTAGTTACGAGAAGGCAGAACCGTTAAGTCTGTCCTATTTTTTCAATTTATATTAGTTAAACTAGGCAGGCGAACCGAAGTCGGTACATACCAGTTGCAAGAAAGCGACAATTATTATTTTGGTATTTTAACAATGCAGATGTCCGATTTGTACTTAGAATTAATATGTTAACAATGGAAGACATTTAATCTTAGAAAGCTCAGTCCTGTAAGCAAAATTGATTCTCTATGTCCTGAATTTGTGGAGTCTCGAGATGCAAACAAAGAGGGATAGGTAGTTGAAGGCTAATATTTGCGGAATCAAAAAACAGTTCGCCCATTTATTTATATCATAAATTTAAATACAAGTTATGTTATTAATAAATAAAATTATCATATACATATTATCATTATACATAGCTTATATTAATAATGTATAAATGATGTATAATTTACATATCAATTCTGATAAAAAACTAAGAGAAATAGTCACCACCTCTGAATAATTTAGACGTTATGTGGGGTGACTGAAACGAAGACGTACCCAAAAATTTGAATATAATAAAAAAAAGTAAAGTGAGTCCACTGAACTTTAAGTCTACGTATATATGCGATTTAATTTGTTTTGAGCGTGAATTAAAACTGAACAGCAGAACTCAAACATATTTATACCCTGAACCCTTTTAAAATGGGTAAAAAGGGTATTATGTAAAGCATCTCCGCCCATAAAGTATATATATTCTAGATCAGCATTAACAGCCGAGTCGATCTAGCCACGTTCGTCTGTCTGTCCGCCCGTCTGTATGTCCGCCCGTCTGTCCGTATGTACAAACGCAAGAGTCCGGTCATTGTTCAGGCAAAAATATTTATGCACGAGAGGTGTGACTCCAAGAACTAGACTGCGGCGATCCACTACCTGAGAGTCTTTTCAGTAAGTAGAGTCTTCTCAGTAAGTAGCAGTTATTCGTGCCTACGCAAACCAAGATGGATCGGATTATGCCCACAGGGGAATATTCAATATTACGGTTTTATAGCAATAGCAAAAACGAGGGTCGCTCCAGTCAAGACGGTGTCCTTGTCACGAATGGAACTCTGCGGGACAGCACTTCTGTCCGAATTATCAGCAGCACCCTTTCCCTAGCTGCCTTCTACTGGCGAAGGCTGGTTCTATAGGACAAATTCCACAATGGTGCTAGCCTGGCTTCATAACCCCACATGCGCATGGACTACATTTGTAGCAAACGGAGTGGCTAAAATTCCTCAGGTCACCGACTCAAGTAAATGGTCCCTTGTACGATTCAAGTACAATCCCGCTGGCTTAGCAAGCAAAAGGGTGCCCCACCACAAGCTTTAGTTAATAGCGACTTGTGGTGGTAACAGCCAGAATGGTTTCGCCTCCCACAGAGCCAAGGGCCTGTCCATTTGAACCCTTTCCAGATACGATAATAGAGCAACGCGCGACTAAGCTAAACTGCGCATACACGGCTCCCTCATTTCCCTTCCTTGAACGCTTCTTGACCGAGCCTTGCGAGTATTGGCTTACATTTTCCGTTTTGTCAAGCGTTGTAAAAGATTATCGCTCCCGTCAACAAACGAGCTTTTCAGCAACGTGATTTCTTATGCACAAGAAACACTCATTCTCCTCACCCAGAAAGAAATTTACTCATCGGAGTACACTTGCTTAGCAGGAAAAGACCGGTCAGTTCCAGCAATTCACTTCACTTACTTAATTTGAACCGGTTTTAAGTTAGAAAGGGAATCATTCGAACGTGTGGTCGCGTAAGAGCGGCCGAAGCACTTAGCTACTATGAGCGACATCCTATAATAAGGCGTATATGCCTGCATGGAAGCAACCAGCTCAGCGTCTAATACGATCACAGCACAGGATTCCAAAGCTCAAGGTGTTGGTAAAATCCAAAAAAATAAATTACAAACTCAGCCAATGGGCGAATTTCCTGTGGAGAAAGTCAGATTTTCTCGGCCATTTACTCACACACGAGTCGATTTTGCAGGCCCCTTCGAGATTAAAAATTACACAGCTTGCAACTGCCCTATTACAAAACGTTACGTGCGCGTTTTTGTGTGGTTCAGCATCATAGCCATCCATTTAGACCAACATCTGACCTAAGCAGCCAAAGTTTTTACGCGCGATTTTGTGGGAAGACCGCATCGCGGAAGAAAAGACTCCGAGCAGTATTGGTGAATAAATATTGCATGCCCAACAACACTCCGGAAATTCATGTCGACGTAAGGACAAGGCTGCAAGAGCCTGGCGACTATTACACCCTGCTGCACCTTCACAAAGCGCGTCACACGCAATCGCGATCACCGTTGGTTCGCACCCCAAAGGCCCAAGTGAGACGCTGTCTACCTTAACGGAGAACAACAGAACCACCGTACACATTGGTAAAGGCGTCGAGGCTGTCCGTCATCTGTATCGGCTTAGATAACGGTTGCTCGGCCGCAGCTCCCAGAGAGAGATCATTCTCCAAGTAATGCAGAAGCTTCAATACCGAACTCCACCAGAACTTATCAACAAGAAGCTGAACTCTTCTTGGTGTTCGAAGTGAACGGACGTACTCGCGGAATAAAATCATAAATTGAAATTCGAGTGCACGCCCAAACGGCCAAACGCGGCTTTTGCAATTCCGCACAAAGATTGCAACGCATCAATAATTGTGACCTTATAACAAACAGAAAAAAACAATTACGTCAAAAATTGAAACAAACCACTTGTTGACAAAGCAATATTTTTTTTAAGTGAGCAAGTCGTCTTCGCTGCCCAGCTGACATGCACCCAGCCAGTGGCAATGCCAATGGAGCCACCATACCAGAGAGTGCTGAGATCACCTACGCACCCACAATGAGCCAAGCACCCCAATGCCAAACAACCGCTTAGCAACAGCTGCCAATAAGTTCTCCGTGCTGATGTCTGCAAGAAGTACTCCACTTCCACCTTCCTACCTTTTAAGGGTCTCTAACCCGGCAGCAGTCCACATGCTGGGGCTGGTGTGAACAGAGACCCCGTTGACACACAATTTACCCGTTGAAGCTGCGGCTCGCATGGTTAAATCACAGGTATAAATAAAACGATAAGCACAAAGTCGTAGACAGCTGGTTCCCATCTGCCGCGCGTCGAAATCAGAACAAGACTGACACCAGTCCAGTTCAAATACGTACATCCTGTAGATATGCTTTCTTGGCGCCACCCGAAAACGACGAAAACATTGAGACTTCCGAATATGAGGCCGAGCAGAGAAGCTCAATCCAAGAAGAGAACTTGCCTGCCTCAGCGACTCTTCAGGTTGAGAGCGGCAACCAGCCCTACGCCGTCGCCCATACCAGCACCAGTTCCTCCGTGCCCGTATAAAGGGACAACAACAATGCCCCCACTGGAGGAAAAAGAAGTCACCCCCATTGTCCTAAATGACATTGATGACGTAGTGGACAACCTGACCATCAAGACCAAGCTAGGTCGACTCTTAGCCAATGATGTGCACATACAGGCCATCATAAAGAAACTGGAAGAACAAAATATCCAATTCTATTTATACCAGCTGCAGGAGGAGAAGCTCTACCGCATAGGCCTTCACCACTCCACACTCAACCGAGAGTTCATTGACGACCTGCGGAGCCAGTGACATACCGCTCTCCATGTGCACAATCCGAACAGCAAAGCCACCAAGGAGCCCATAAACATCCATCTCAATAAATTGAAGCCGGCGGCCAACAATAAGGAGGCTATTACCATCAGGAAACTGTGCAAGAAGATGGTCAAGGTGGAGACTGCACGTGGAAACCATAACGTGGTTCAATGCCATAGATGCCAGAAGTACGGTACTGTAAGACATTATGCATAGCCAGAGCTGATGATGTCTTATCGCTAAGCAGCGTTTTAATGCATACATCAGCGCTGTGGCAGGTAAATAAATTAAAGCTGACTGATTGATTGACTGTGTGATTGAATGGTTTTCGAACCACGCCGTGAAGTCAATTAAGTTTTCACTGTAGCTACCTTATGTGATGCACGCTAAGTCGGGATTTTGGAAAATTCGGAAAATTTTGGATATTGCGAAAAACTTCTTTTTGCATTTTTTTGTTTATTATTCGACCGTTCTCAAACTTTTTTATAAGATCTTAATTAGTGTTAAGTGTGTCCCTTTCTTTTTTGGAAAGTTTATTCCTTCTTGGTGGAAGTCGGTGTTATAGTTTTGCTGGGTGATATTTCGAATTCAAATTCATGTGTTTAAGAAACTTCATTTGAGACGTGTTTTTCACTTTGAAGAACTTAAGCTTTCTCGGTGCAACATACGAATCAAAGATTTTTTGTGCGAAGCTGTAAGATTTGCTTTAAACTTAATTTCAAATCCCTACATAAGAACTTATTGAATACATCTGTTCACACAAGAAGTGTATATAGCCGTCGCTACTGCAATGAAGTTGGGTCCACCGGTCATTCGGCGCAAGCAAAGTCTTGGAGTGTCTGAATCCGTTTTCGATTTGTAAGAGATGCAATTCTTCAAGCCCAGACTCCGTATCTCAAAGTTGGCGTCACCACGACGTTGTAAATAACCCGTTTCGAGTATCCAGTACAGTTCCAAGATACTTGGCCTGATACTTTGCCACGCCCTTGTGTGTGTTGACCGCCTGACACTTCGAAAGAGTTTTTAGGTTCACATATATCCTTAGATATTTTTAAAGTCTCATCAAGGAATACCATTTAGTTTTTAAGATGTCTTACAGTGATTCTAGAAAGAGTTATTAGTTTCACTAATATCCGTAGATATTTTTAAAATCTCATCATAATGTCCAAGCCGGTATTTATTTGTTAAAGTATGATCCATATGAGCCAAATCTTATCAATATCGCATTGAGGTCAACACGGCCCTGAAATCCTTGGCATGTCGAAGATATCCTTACTTATTCGTTTTTATTAATTTTAATCTGGATTTCACTTTTCTTTTAGACATTTGATTTAGTTTTCGTAAATCAAAATTATCAGGCTCAAACATCAGATGCGGTCAGTGTTACCCGAGGCGATTTGGTTGAACTTGTAAATACAATATCTAATATTGGAGAAAAAAGGTAAGTTAGTAGACAAAGGAATGGTTTATTAAATTTATTATGAATTATTATTATAAGCAAGAAACTTAATATTCAACTTTAATGTAACAGCTTGGGCATTCTTAGAATTTAGATCGTTTTTGATCGTATCTAAGTTTATGAAATATTGAATAAAATTACTTATTTTTGTAACTTATTAACAGTGTAAATTTTAATGTTTACTTAATACTCATTTATCATTATTATCGCACTGATCACACCAATCTGGCCATCTAGCAATTTTATCATTAAGAGTCTTACGATCCAAAGTCAATGTCAACGAGCTGAAATCAGTGACTATCTTAAACAGAACTCCCTCTAAGTAAATCCTATACTTGTTAAAAGAATAAACAAGTAAGAGGTTTTAGTCGGGAGCTCCCTACAAGGGAATACCCTGAACCCTCTTTTTCCAACACCAAATAAATAAAAAACAAGTAAGAGGTTCTAGTCGGGAGCTCCCGACTAGGGGATACCCTGAACCCTCTTCTTCCAACATCAAACGCGCAGGCACTAGGAGCACCAACATCGAAAATTTCAGTCTCTAGCTCTTATAGGTTCTGAGATCCTTGCGTTCATACATACGGACGGGCGGACGGACAGACAGACAGACGGACATGGCTGATCAAGAATATGTTTACTTTATGGGGTCGGAGATGCTACCTCCTGTTACATACATTTGCATTTTGAGCAAATACAATATACCCTTTTTACCTATTTTTAATGGGTTCAGGGTATAAAAAATAGCCCGACATTTTTCATAAATTTCATAGTTAGCACCTAATTTTACTAATTCATTTAATGTCTTCTCTATCTTTGAATAACTAGGTATAAAATGTCTAAAATGGGAAAAAAAACCTTACATTTTCGCACTTCAATAGGAATTTTCAAAATTGGGAGGTCTTTAATTGCGGTAATATGTTCATTATTAGAGCTTATTCCATGTTTTTGTACAGAGTAGACTGAAAATGCAACACTCGTAAAACAAAATAAACATTTAATTAATTTTATTTCCAACCTATATTCTGTTAAAAGCCGAAGCACTTTACTGAGCGTTTCTAAATGCTCTTCGATTGTTTCGGTTCCTATAGCAATATTTTATATATGACCAACAATATTTCCTTCACGAATTGATGGTTTAAAGACCAAGTTTATAAATTTATGAAACACTGCTGGTGCATTCCGAAGGCTAAATGGCATCTTGACATATTCGTTCTGGCCACTAGCCGGCGCATGAAGGAGGACGGAAGTGATCAGAAATTGTCTACAAATTTAATCAACGGAAAGGAGAAAGTCCTATATCTTACCAGCCTGGAGGTCATTTTACCAACAGAATTGGTGTTTATCGAGTCAAAAGATGGCTACCCCTTGCAGCTTCGAGCTTTTTTCGATCAGGGTTCCCAAGCATCGTTCACTCCATAGAGTGCAGCCCAACAACTACGATTGACAAGGAAAGGGATATATAATTATTTCAATGGTTTAGCAAATGAAAGAATCACCGAAGCGTCTCAAGAAATTGACTTGAAATTCGTATCCCTATATTCTAAAGAATTTTCGTTTATCCGATCCTAATTGTTATATTCCATTTTGCTCGGGAGCGATATTTACGATGAGCTAATGTTGGGTGAAGCTTATCGAGGTTCAGCAGCTTCACCTCTAGCACAAAATACACACTTGGGCTACATCGTCCTTGGAAAGATCAACGAACTTGCGTGGTTAGTGTCCTCGCACACAGTTTAGACACATAATAATGATGCAAATGAGTAGCTCGACAATGTTTTACGCAAGTTTTGGGTACTAGATCAATTCGGCAATGAGTCAGGTGGTGCGAGGACTTTTTGTCAATGCCAATCGACGCTTATCTTCGGGAAAATATTTTGTACGTCTACCCTTTTTGTCCCATCTGGATCAAACTATGGTGATTGGATAGTTCTATCGAAGCACACTAAAGCGGTTAGATTATCTGGTGCAGACCGCAGCTTGGAAGAAGTTTATTGTCAAAACTAATGAGTATTTGGATCTGGGCTAAATGGAACATTTGTGTTGACATATGAATGCACTTTTTGTACTGAGGTTGGCTTCGTAAAAAATATGTATTTTTAGGCTTCTAAATAATTTTCAAAGTTTGTAAGAAAGCTATTGCCCGCGGTATAAGTCTTAGTCTTACCAGGCCCAGCGACTTACAAGGCATTTATAAGTTCGCTAGGATTGAGGGTTGAAGGGGGAAGAAGTAAACGTACCGACCAAACCATACCTCTCCCTCTATGTCCATACTGACTCCTCCGCTAGGTCACAGCCAGTATTACTTATTCTAGCGGGCAGTAGCCTCGCGCCAGTTACTCTGGCGGGCATTGGCCTCGCACCAACTACACTAGCGGGCCTTGGCCTCGCACCAACTACACTAGCGGGCTACAACCTCGCGCCTCCTGCACTGCTGGGCCTTGGCCTCGCACCAACCACACTAGCCCCTTAGGTTAGGGTGGACCTCGGATATACCCGATGTTTAGTACAAAGGTGACCGACCGAGGATATAAAAGTCATTGTCCCCACTTTATTGCTAGTTTTATTAACTACCGTCGCTTCCTCGGCGGCGTTTATGGCTCCGACTTCTGGGTCTTCAACTAACTTATAGCCTATCCGTTGCTTATGTTATTTCCAATATATGTAGCTTACTTTATCTATGCTTAACTTATTCTACGGCTAGATCTGCTGCGCACGCTCTTCTTCTACATCCTTTGGGTCCGGTTCCCCTCCGCCATCGGTCATCTCTTGGTAAAACGGTTTCAGCTGGGATATATTGGCTACCCTCTTCTTTCGTTTGCCTGGCCTCACTGGACGCACAATATTAGGGGATATGAATTTGACAACCCTTTAGAGGCCGCCAAACTTGGGTGCCAACTTCGCACCGAGACCCTCAGCGGCGTCGGATAGTTGGTGCTGGCTTAACAAGACCATCGAGTCCAACGAAGGCCGCCACTCTCGTCTCCGCAGGTTGTAGTGTCTGCCCTGATCCTTCGACGCGCGCTGGAGATTGCTATGGACGATATAAAAGATTTCTTTTAACCTAACTGCCTTCTTCCTAGGGTTGAGCGCACTAGTTACGGACTCCAGAGTCACCTGATCATACAGAGCGGCGGGCAACCGGGGTTCTCTTCCCTGCATCAGGAAAGCGGGACTGATTGCGGTCGAATCTGCCACACTTGTATTGACCGCCAGCTATATCTCGGGAAAAAACTCGTCCCACGAACCCTAGTGGCCCTCGATAAATTGCGCTATCGTGGTCTTCACGGATCTGTTGGTCCTCTTGGTAGGATTTTCTTGAGGACAGTACGGGGCGGTGTACTGGACCTCTACGCCCAAAGACTCCAGAAAAGCCTTGAAACTACGGCTTGTAAATTGTACTACGTTGTCGCACCCAAACCTACTGGGTACACCGAATCGGCTCAAAGTCCTCTCTCGGGACGCGGTTTGCACGTGCGCCGCCGTGCAGTATCATGGCGTTCCGCTAATACCCTCTGCCGTTGACCACTGGCCATACATATCTTTCAGGGAATGTAGTCTTTGTCGTCCGTCCGGTGGCCCAAATGCCTATATAACTGCCCATTCTCTTCTATGTAGTCCGGGATCTTGGCCGGCTCCTCGGCGATTCTAGCACGCATTCCCTCGACGGTAGTGGACGTCGAATTGAAACTGTTGTAGCTCCAATGCCCATCGCGCGATCCTGCCTGAGGGGCTCTCGATCGAGTTGAGCCACTTAAGTGCTAGATGATCCGTTATCACGTCGAAACGGTACCCTTCTAGGTAGCAACGCAGCTTCCGTATCGACCAAACGATTGCCTGGCACTATTTCTCGGTGGCGGAATAGTTCGCCTCGGCCTTCAGCAACTTTCTACTCGCGTACGCTATAACCCGCTCCTGCCATTCTAATGTCTGCGTCAGCACTGCGCCGAGGCCGTAGTCGCTCGCGTCAGTCTGTAGCACGAACCTGGCGGAAAAGTCTGGGCAAGCCAACACAGGGGCAGTCGTCAAGTTGTTCTTCAATTGACGCAATGCTTCCTCCTGTTCTTGATTACATGCCCATTTCCCCCTTCTTTAAGAGCGCTGTGAGCGGCTGTACCTGAGTTTGCGAAGTTGGGAATGAAACGCCACCATGACGCCATCCGGAGACACTGCTGCAATTCCTTACAATTTGTCGGGGCCCTCATGTTACGTATCGCCTCCACCTTCTCTGGATCGGTACACATTCCTTCCCCACAAATGGCATGTCCTAGATAGAACAACCTCTCCCGGAAGAAACTGCACTTCTTCCTATTCAGCCTGAGACTAGCCGGCGAAACACCTTTTTCAAGTTCTCTACATGTTGTTCTTTCTTTGCCCCTATTACCACGATGCCGTCTAGGTAGGCGAACGCATGAGGCTCAATTTCCGGCCCTATGTCAATGCACATGCGCCATTCGCTAGTCTTCTTTTTGACTAAGACGATTGGGGCACTGTGCGGACTACGCGACGGCTCGATGGCACCTGCCCGGATCAGCTCATGTACCTGTTCGTCAATCACCCTCTGTATGGCCGGATTCTTCGGGTATTATCGCTGTTTTAATGGCTTGTCGGCCGTCAGCCGGATCCTGTGCTCCGCGCGAAGAGTGCCAGTTCCGACTTCAGGAACTCCCCTTGTTCCGGATCCAGATCCGCTGGCCACTCTGTCTCTTCGATGCTGAGCTCGCTTTGCGTCTCGCCTCCTCCGGGCACCACTCCAACCCTAGATAGAGCTCCATGATCGCTCCCCCCTGGCAGTCGCTCCTGAACCCCTGTGTCCTGATCACCTGTGTTACTTCCGTTCCTTCTTGGTATCCTCTCTCTGTTGCCGAGCAGGTGCTCCTTCGGCTCTTCCCTGGTTCCACGCCGTGCGGCTGGAGACGTCACCGACTCTAGGACCAGCTCCGCCTCGCCGCAGCGTATCGCACCCAAGAAGTCCATCCCCAGGA